TTCTCAGTCCTCTTCAGTCCCTCTGCCAGCACAGCCACTCTAGTCCTTCTTGATAGTGTGAAGCCCCACTCTTCTCAGTGGGAACCTCCAGAGCCTGTCTGTTGGGAGATCATCCTTGCTAGGGAAGTATCCCTTAAACCCTCCCCACTCCTGGCACTCTTACTGTTCTCTTGTGTGCAACTTTCCTGTCCTGGAGATGTTTGTGAGTAAGCCACTCTGCTGCTCCCCTGCCTTCAAATAAGTCAAGTTGGAGTGAGCTGATGAGGGACTGGCTGTGCTCACCCTGTAGCACTGGCATACATAGTAATTTTATGGAGCAAAATGGCAAATTTTACAAAACCACTTCAAGTGTATTTTAATGGACAATATTTGCCAAACAGTGCTTTATATGATGTGAAAAGTGTGCCAGCGCAAACAAGAAAAATAGAGGAAGAGCTTCCATTCACTTTGTAGAGTTATTTTATTTTATTAGCACCCCTTTAACTAAGGAATTGATATGGGAAAGGCTAGGTCTCCTTTCTGCTAAAGTACTTGCTTCTCCTTCTGCTCCTATATATAGTATGATTCCTCTCAGGCAGCTGTGAGCCTGGCCTGAAGAATGAATTGTTGAGAGCATCACAGAGAGGAGGGAAAAAAGAGAGAAATTTATAGTGAGTTAGGTTGGCTTGAATTTCAGTCCCTGCTAGGAATATTCTTGGATTTTGTATAATTTTTTTCCTACTTTAATCTCTTTCATGATTTAATTTTCTTAAAGACATGCATCTCAAATTTTTGAGAGACGTAGATCAGTTTTGGTCCTCAGGAGCTAGTGGAGGGTATAAAATGTCTATGTAATGCTTTGTATTAAGGTTTTATTTATAAATGGTTGATAATGATTAATAGATGTTACAAGCATTTTACAGAGATGAGGAGTGTGTATTGTATAAATGGTTGTTATATCCCCAAAAATGACATTAAAACATTAAAGTTGCAAAGTCAAGCACTCTCAAATTTCCAAACTTTTGAGTTAAATTTGCCTGTGCAACTTTAATCAGCTTCTTTGTAGGTATAATGTTAGTCTTTAATTACATGATCACATCCTATATTTTCCACTGGAGCTTGGCTCCTGCCCATTCCCTTCCTCCCTATCCTGCTGCTGCTTCTTCCTTCACTCTCCCCAGCTCTTGCCCAGTGCCCATTTCTGTCTATCCACCCCACTCCTGTCCCTTACCCCATTCCTCTGCTTCTGTCCGTATCTGTCTCCCCAACCCCCCCATGCTCCTAGCCTTTCCTCTTCAATCCTCCCTACCCACCCCAATACACACTTCCTGGGATCAGCAGGAGGAACTCTGAGAGCACAGGAGAGACAATCTCTCTGCCCTGAGTTACAGTGCTTGGTGCCACAGTGGCCCTAGACAGGTGGAAGAAGCAGTTGCAAGGGAAAGTCCTGCTAAACCTCTGCAGCCCCAGGATGGAGCATGCTCAGTCATTCTGTGGAGATGATGCATATGCGGTCTGGTCTTCCCATAGGAGCTATCAGGAAATGGAGCATGTTCAGCATAGATGGAATCTTTGGAGAATTGAGCTGCCAAACTTCTAACAAGTCTTTACTGGGCATGTGCAAACTGAGATTTTGAGAGGTTTATAGCGTGGCCAGATTTGGGGATATTTCATGGCAAAAGTCATATTATTGACACCACAGTGATCCCACTGCCAGATTTCAAGTCCCTGCTAGAGCTACTCTTGGAAGACATTTTTAACATGGGCAAAACAATGGTGGTTTTTGTTTTTTTGTTTTTTTTTGCTAACCTTTTTCTCAGAAATGGCTGAATCATTTTTGCAGAAATTTTTAAAACAAATTCTGTCTGAGGCAGACATCCAGTACGGAAAACTTCAGCCTGAACAGTTTAAGTTTAGCAAAGTTATAAGCACCCGAAAACACAGCCTTTATATACTAGGACAGGGGTAGGCAACCTATGGCACGTGTGCCGAAGGCGGCACTCTAGCTGATTTTCAGTGGCGCTTCACACTGCCCGGGTCCTGGCCACTGGTCTGGGGGGCTCTGCATTTTAATTTAATTTTAAATGAAGCTTCTTAAACATTTTAAAAAACTTATTTACTTTACATACCACAATAGTTTAGTTATATATTATAGACTTATAGAAAGAGACCTTCTAAAAACGTTCAAATGTATTACTGGCACGCAAAACCTTAAATTAGAGTGAATAAATGAAGACTCGGCACACCACTTCTGAAAGGTTGCTGACCCCTGTACTAGGAAGTGTCAGGCAATGTTAACTATAGGCATCACTACTTGCACTGCCTATAATAAACACATTGGTGGAAGCTGTTGTAGATGGTTATAAGTCATGGTTATAACCAATCTATTGACTTGCTGGATTCTACAACACTTGATTGATCACTTATTAACTCTAACTACCTATAAAGGTTGCTTTAATATAGCCTACTATTGTAGGTTTTGCGACCTCTACTGCTTTGGACGGGATGGGAATCAGAGTTCTGTAGAAAATAGGATGCTTACATGTGCTGTAGTACAAAGGGCTTCCCAGCTTTTTTGGTATTTCTTTTCAGTTGTACAGTAGCGGTATTAACTGAAGGAAGCAGGTGCCTCAGTTACTTAGTTTCCACTAACAGTTGATTGATTAGTTCTTAACAGAAAGCAAAAACATTTTCATGCCTAATTTGCTTAGTTTTCAGTTAGAATGAGGGAATAAAAATAGCTTCCTCTCACAGTATAGTACAGTATTATTTTGCCACAGTCTTAAGACTCTCTGAAAATGGAACAGTCAGTCATGTTATGAACTTCCGTGTCAAAACTATATACTGTTGTGTCTGCTCCTGCAAGGTGCTGAGCACCCTCAGTTCCCATTGTCGTCTGTGCAACGAAGCTAAGCACCTTGTCCTAACTACTTAACAGCTCATTGGACTCTAGACAGGGGCATCAGAACAGGGAAGGCCACGGGGGTCATGGTCGCACCACTTTTTACTGTTGGTAAGGGTGAGTGATAAGAGGTAAGGGAAAGGGCGGAGTGGAGTGAGCAAGGGGCATGGCCTCAGGGGAAAGAGGCAGTGCTGGGCCTCGGGGGAAAGAGGCGGCATGGGGGCGGGGCCTTGAGGAGAAGGGTCGTGGCCTCAGGGGAAGGGGTGGTGTGGGGAGGCGAGGCCACGGTTTCGGGCGCCGGTGGCCCCCCCACTTTTAGGAAGCTTCTGCCACTCCTGACTCTAGAAGCATATAATACATTTAGTAAAGGACTGCATATATTGTGTGTTTGTGTGTGCGCATGTAAGATGAAATGAAATTTAGTTCATTATTTTAGCTACTTTAATAGGACAACTTTATAAGAAGCTAAACTTCAGGATTTTGGCCATGGCCACTTTCATGGGTCTGACAGTGGTGTTATCACTAAGTAAAAACCCAATTTTTGCTTTAGTCTTTTACCTCTGCCTTTGCAAAGCTATAATAAAATCCCTGTGAAATATTGTTAAATGCTAATGGGACACCTGCTTAGTGGCCTCCTTTTTGGTACCAGTGTGGTGTGAGGTTGAAATTTTTGTATTGTTCCCAGCTGTGATGTCAGATTTGCATCCGCCTGGTCAGTTCACCAGTCATGAGCATAATGTCTCGTATATTGCCTTGCTAGAAAGGAAATTTATACTGTCTATTTTCAAGTGATGTTATTTTTTTCTCCGTGTTTAAAAAAAAAAAAGTTTAAAATGTAAAGGATTATTTATATTCTCCTCCTGACATAGAGACCTGCTGCCTCAGTTAATGTAGAATGTGAGTTGTGTTTTAACATATTCATGAATAACTTCTATGTTCTTAGTTACTTGCTTATTTACTGTCTTCCAACTCTTTGTCTCTTTTTTGTTTCCATTCCTCCTTGTACACTTCTGAACCTGAGTAAATTTACGAAGGTATACTGAGATGACTGCTAAGATTCAATAAAGTTGCCAGTCTCTGTTTCAGTAGGAATTTTTTATAGCTGTGTTTTTGAATTTCCAAATTTAAATCTTTTAAATATGTGAAATAAGAAAGTAGAAACTGCTATGTATTAAAGATCGGTTAGAAGAATTCTTTGCTTGGATGTAGCCTTATTTGTATATACACGTCTGTTCTGTTTCCTGCTGTGATATGTTTTTCCAAGACATCAGAAGGAAATGTGGAAGGATGGGCCTGCTTTTTATGGGGGGGGGGGGGGAAGGAATTGGAACAAGGTAGATACAAGTACAGTACTTAATATTGTTTACCTGTGTTCATATGTTTAAATACACTGCTTTTTAAAAAATTTTATACACAAATAAAGTTGAGTGTGAAACGCTCACGGCATTTTCTAGTTATTTCTTTTTAAAGTTGTTTTATATTTGTTCAGTGAAGTGGTCATTAATAAAGGATGAGATCTTATAGTTGTTGGATGGATGGGCTAGGACCTAGCTGGTCATGGACAATCCTAACACATTTTTAAGCATGATGTGCCCTGTCTACACTGCAAAGACTTTGTAAAATCATATTATATTATTTAAAACAAACGAGCTAACATGTTTTAATGAGCAACCTTGTAACCATAGGGAGATAAAAATTTTCAAATGTATTTTTTTTTGAGTTGATGATGCCCCTTGAACTGAGCAATATATAATTATTTTAATTGTTATGGTGTAGTATGTGTAAGTGCAACGAGAAGTCTTTACTACTTGTAAGTGATTTTGTCTAAAGGATATGTATGCGTGTGTGTGTGTGGGGGGGGAGAGACGGACTTTTTTTTTTTTTTTTTTTTTAAACACTGTTTCCTGGAAGGAAACTGTGGCCTCCAGCTCATTGTAATAACATAATTTCAAGACACGTAGCATTTGCTTAAGAAATTTGTGTAGTCTGTTTCCTAAGAAAGACTTAACTGTTCTTAGTTAATGTTAATGCCTTCCTCATGAGCTTAATAAGACTCCACCGACTTTCAATAATATGGAAGAATTGGATGTTTAACCAGGATCCTGAACATGTGTTTCAGGTGGAGAATTCCAAAGACAATGAAGAGAATATCCTGCAAAGAGAAGTTCCCCTCAGGCAGTCTCGACGAAGGTTTAGGAAGATTAATCAGCGGGGAGAACGTCAGACCATCACAGACAATGTGGATGCTAGCAGTTATCTTTCGGTGAGCATGTTTTCCACTAACGAAAACGCATCAGCCTAGTTGGTTTCTTATTGTCTGAGCATTTGGGTCTTTTAGGGTCAGGGACAGAAGGAGATGAAGTGTTAGTTTGTTTTTGTTTTATCTGTAAACATTTTCCTCCTTGGAGAACACTGAGAACACTTCGGATTTTATAGCTATAGACGGCAATTCAGGTTCAGCAATTGAGAGCAAAAATGCTTTGGTTTATGGATCTGCTGCTGTGTTTAATAGTGAAAATGCTTAGAAGGTCATTGGTCGGTGAAAGGATTGTCCTCCTCAAAGACCTCCATGGATACTTGGTTGTTGTTTTTGTAATATCTTTAAATCAAGTACTCATGCTAAAATGTTGAGATTTGTTTTTTTTCTATTCAATTTAGATCATGTTGAAAAGTGTTTTATGAAATCCCAGCTACTGTACAATATGAATGCATATCTTGATGTTTCACCTGTTTTTCAATTCGGTATAAAGATCTGAGAGTTTACTTGAAAACAGCAGAATTTGGTGAGAGGAAATTATCCATCCAAGAGGGTATTTGCCACACTAAATATTGCTAAATATATAAATCTGTATTGTGCCAAGGTAAATGCAGCTGTGATTCTCAGGCCACAATATTTTTTCTACAGGGTTCTGTTTACCACTAGTTTTGTGTAATTGCATGCTAAAATCCTGTTAGTGGTGGGTTGTATGTGTGTGGTCCACACAAAAGGTTTCATTTGAAAGTAACTGTTCTAGATGTTTTGTTGGTTTGACATTAAATCAGATTACCATCAAATCAAACAAATTATCATGAAAAATGTTCACATTACCAGAAATTATACTTTCTGCTATTTTATAATGTTGGGGTTTAAGTGGAGCCAAATTTTAATGAGTCTTCAGGTCAGGAAAAGGAAAACAAATTAAGTAACTCTCTCAAACAAAAAAATACAAAACAAAAACAAAAACCCCACAACCTTCTAGTTGGGAGGCTTGCAAAGCATTTGCAACACAATCATAAACCTGAAATTAAACTACTTTCAGACTATATTTGAGTAAGTTAGTTTTTTGGCTTGTGATTAATATTAATGTTTTTAGAAGATAATTTTAAAAACTCCAAAACATTGGGACTTCAGGGAGTATAGGTTATGTTGGCATTTGTCTTCTAAGCAGAAAGGCTATTGTTGCTGTAACAGCAAGTGTATACTTTAAGTTCAGTTTCCTGTATCTCCTCATTTCAGGATGTGTGATGTATTCTGTTCTATGTCAAGAATTAGTAAACAAACTGAGCTAGTCACCGAAGTGAGAATTTATGTTCCCTAGCTCTAGGAAATGCCTAAGAGTTTGATCATGGATGAAAGTCTAGCCTTTGTGATTGTGACAAAATATACATCTTTCTTCCTCCATTGCATTTCTATTTAAGGCTGAATAAGCACAGAAAACAGTAGTTCTCAAAGTTTTCATTCTTTGAGCACTTTGTAAGGAAGAGAGAATCTCATTAATAACAGATCCTGTGATTCTGTCTGTATGATTTTGAAGGGTACAAGGATTCAGAGTCAACTATTTTAGGCACCAAGTTTAATTCCATGGAGTTTGGTTACACAAACTACATTTCTGGAAGGAAATCTGTCAGTTGGTTGTCTCAGCTGGTTAACAGCTGACTGAAGTGAAAAACCAATATCATTTATATATCATGAGCTTTTGCTACCTGTATGACAGTTTTAGATAATTTCTGTAGCAAAAAAGCTTTTCAGTGGACAAATCGACTGATGATTAAGAAATCAAAACATAATAGAATACATCTACCTGTTCCACATTCAGCAAGTAACAAAATTATTAAAAGAAAGAAAAGTGTGTGCAGATTTCACTAAATTTAGTCAAAGTTTAGTAAAATAATTAGGTAAAACATCTTGCATTAAGTAATATGGTTTCTTCTTCATATGCAGATATAAATGCCATTAGCATTGGTGTGAGTTACTTGTGCACACTGAGTAGCGAATATACTGCTAATATAAGATCATTGGTTCCCTAAGGTTTTGAAAATCTCAGATAATCCATTGACTCTCTCATAATTACCTTTTCACATTTCAGCATATCAATACATACATTTTACCATCTGACAGTAGTTCATAATTACCGTCCTTATATCTGTCTATAACACTATGCACTGGGGATATCTCTCTATATAATTGTGATTGCAGTTGCAACTTGATCAATGTCAGCTTTTCAGGAACAAATGATGAAAAAAGTACAAGCAGTAGACAATGTGTGAAAAGATTTTCAGGAATCAAACTCTTAAAAATCTTATATATTTAACTATGTTTGTGATTAAAGGTGGTGTAGAGAAACTTTGGCCGTAGTTTGCAATAGGCAAGACATTGCAATAGCATCCCTCCCAGAGCTGGGAAGTTGTTTACAAACGTTCCAACAAATTTGCCTCACTGACAGGATTATAATTAATAATTGCAGTATGTTATTTCACTTTTCTACCTGAGGCTAACTGCTCTTTGATAGAGGCTGAATGTGGTTTGATAGGTCTTGTATTTAAGCCATATTTAATGATCACGTTATTCCATATTGCACTCATTGCATTACATTCAGGGTATAAATCAGTTCATTTTAGGTATTTGTATTTAAAATCCTGTAGTCCATGAGTCTTGGGGAGGCAATCTAGACCAAGGAGGGGTGGTCATGACTTGCCCTGCAACCTGCCTTACAATGCTCACACCCAGCCTACAAGCATGCAGATCACACCCTGCAGGGTCTGTGTGCTAGACCAGTGGTCTCTAAACTTTTTTGATCGCGCACCCCTATCGGTAAAAAATTTGAGCACGCACCCCCTGCCGCGCCAGCTCTACCATTTTTGCCAAAGCAAAAAAAAAAGAAGCAGCTGCCGCTCGGACTCCCGCCCAAACTACTGAAGCAAAAAAAAAAAAAAAAAGCGCCGCTCGGATGAAGAAAAACAAGAAACCCTCCTCCTGCCGCGCACCCCTAAGGATCCTCTTGCGCGCGCACCCCACTTTGGAGACCTCTGTGCTAGACAGCACTAGTTCAGCAACTCTGACCCCAGCAAACAATCTACAGCTCTACTCTGGTCTTGGTTACAACCAGCAAGGTGACCCCAACACACTCCCAGTCCTGAAATAATATGGTTCATTTGTTTTTGTAAAGAGACAAAAAGCACATCACAGCTTATTAACTGGGGTTAATACACCCTTCCCTTTAAACACAGCACTGAATTGGTTTATAGTAAAAATAAAACAAATTCATTAACAATAGAACATAGATAAGGGATGCCAAGTAAAAGGAATAAAGATAGGGTTACAAGCAAATAAATGTGAAAACACACATCTAAAAATCTAAAACTTAATCTAGCATGGTACAGGCTTTGTTCAAGATGGTTTCTCTGACCAGTCTTCATTCTTCCCAGCCATGGCTAGCTTCTCCTCAGTCAGGACCTTCCACAGAGGGTGAAAGATCTTTGCCAAAGCATGCTTCTCACCTATGTTCAGATTCCAGAGACTTCAAACCCCATCCCTTTGATTGAAGGACCCATCTTTCTCAGGTTGCAAGAGCTCTGTTCCCTTGTGTCTGTCTTGAGATGGATGCCAAAGATGACTTCTGTCTTTGCTTATATCTTCCAAAGTCCAGTAACTTTTGTTTCAAGAGGCAGGATGACCTCCTGCTGTTTTTTCTTCCTGTGTCTTCTCATCCCCTTGTTGATTTCTATGTAAATGAGACTTCCATTGTTTTTGGTCACACCTTGCTTAATTTACATAGGAAACAGGTAAATAGCTGCCATCTCTCCTGTCTGGGAGGGAACCTGTTTCTCCCTGTTTGGCCACAGACTTTAAAGCGTAATATCATTAAGTATTCATATTTCTCATATAGTATTAATACATACTTTTCACAATGATATTGATCACCACTGTGCCATTAGCTTCCAGAAAAAAACCCTCATTTTATACACTTGTATAATGTATACAATCAGTTGATTCAATTGTTTATCACTGGAGATTCAGCCCACCTGCCTTTATAGATCAGTAAGCCTTTGAAATGGAATCTTCTGAGGTTACCCCTCAAAGTAAAGTTTATTCAATCTGTGAAGAAGGTGACATGGCGTCTGATAGTAAAGGAAGCTCTACATTCTTTCTTCCCCCACTTGTTGGTAGCTTAATAGTTTTGTTTACCTAATCTGTAAAAATGGACCTTTGTTGTCTTTGCCTGAAGACTGGGCTGGTCAGAGAATCAAATACGTATTCCTTTATCTAGGCAGACCTGTTTACCACTCCCCTGACATGCCTTCCATAATTTCAGCATATATTCATAACTTTTTATGTACACTCTGTGTATCCATTATGCACGAATATTAATGATCTGTGAGTTAGTAGTTTTCCAAGGATATCTTACATGGCATCTTTTTAGATACAGATTATAACCATAGTGAGTTGGGGTACACTGAATTGGTCAGTCCAACTGAAACTCATTACCTGATACCATTGAGTTCTTTGCCCTCTGACACTGGGATGCTTCGAAGGTCATAAGTATACAACATAGCATTATTTGTGTGAGTTTTTGACTGTGAGGGTATGTCTACACAGAGATAAAAAAAACCCTGCAGCTGGCCTTGGTCAGCTGACTCAAACTCACGGGGCTCGGGCTGCCGGGCTGAAAAATTGTTGTATAGACATTCGGGCTTGGGCTGGAACCCAAGCTGTGGGACCCTGTGAGGGTGGAGGGTCCCAGAGCTCGAGCTCCAGCCCAAGCCTGAAACTATACAACAATTTTTCAGCCCTGCAGCCTGAGCCCCTCAAGCCCAAGTCAACTGATACAGGCCAGCTGCAGTAGTGCTGCGGGTCTTTTATCCTTGTGTAGACATAGCCTGGATGCTCTCTGGCACATGTAACCTTTTAATTTCTAAGGGTATGTCTCCATTGTGCATGCGCGCGCGCACGCACACACACAAAAAAGTGTATTGTTAACTTGGGCTAACATTGCAGTGAAGACA